GAGAAACTCGCGCTGCACTTGGGTGCATTAATATTACCCCACCTTGTGAATAAGTTTCAATTAAAAAATGAACGGTCGGAGTAATTTCACTGACTGTTATTAATCACTGCTAATGAACAGTGCAGGCATTAAACTTACTCTGAGCCTGGATCTGAATCCAAAAAGCATTCTTCATTACTTTAAAAATATTCAGTAAACTGACAGGTAGGAATAATCACAGCTGTATCGCTTACAAAAACTAAATCTAAATCCTTGCATTATGATACTTCACTAAATAATATGTATGTGACGATGAACAGTTCAAAGATCATGTTCTTCGTATCGTCATTCCTGATCTGTTTGTCAGTTCATGGAAAAGACAGTTCATACAGAAAAATTTACTTAAAACCTGGATCTGAATCCAGATAGCGACTATTTTATATAATAAATTTACATGGTACTATTATGAATTCATTACTGTATATTGTACAATCGGAGTAAACACACTGAACTGTTACTAGTCACTGCTAACGAACAGTTCATACAGCAAATTTACTTAAAACCTGGATCTGAATCCAGAGAGCGACTATTTTATATAATAAATTTACATGGTAGTATTATGGATTCATTACTGTATATTGTACAATCGGAGTAAACAGACTGAACTGTTATTAGTCACTGCTAATGAACAGTGCATACAACAAATTTACTTAAAACCTAGATCTGAATCCAGGTAGCGACTATTTTATATAATAACTTTACATGGTAGTATTATGAATTCATTACTGTATATTGTACAATCGGAGTAAACAGACTGAACTGTTATTAGTCACTGCTAATGAACAGTGCATACAACAAATTTACTTAAAACCTGGATCTGAATCCAGAGAGCGACTTTTATAATGATAAATTTAAATGGTAGTATTACGAATTCATTACCGTATATTGTACAATCGGAGCAAACACACTGAACTGTTATTATTCACTGGCAATGAACAGTTCATACAACAAATTTGCTTTGAACCTGGATCTGAATCCAGAGAGTGACTATTTTATATAATAAATTTGCATCGTAGTATTTAAAATTCATAACTGTATATTGTTTACTCGGATAAGACTATCTAAAAATGCAGATAGGAAAAACTTTATCTGCATCAGCTACAATAACTAACATTGTTAACAAAAATACATTACTGGTTATACGTAAATGATGTATAGTTTACAATGTAAGGCTCATGTTCGGTTTCACAATGCTGACTTGTGTGCCAGCTCATTTCATAAAACTGAGAAACATACGTTGCATCTGGATGCATTCTAAATACTGCCACAGCTAAGTAAATCAGCATTAATATCAAAATAAACACACTAAACTGTTATTAGTCACTGCTAATGAACAGTACAGGCAACAAATTTACTCCTGAACCTGAATTCAGAAAGCTACCTTAGTTTTATATTTTGCGAATCTAAACTTGCAGGTAGAAAATATAATCTCATCTCCATCACTTGAATACGTAAATTATGTACAGTTTAAACCGCAAGTTTATCGTCTTGTACAATGTTGATCTGCTTGCTAGTTCATGGAATCCACATTTTCTTGAAACTGTTTGTTACAGATAAAACCACTCTGCATTTGAAAGCGTTATACTGTCCTAGAAGGACACATTAACAAAACGTACGACCAAAGCAATATCAGCAAATTCACTGAACTGTTATTAGTCATTGCTAATGAACAGGCTAAATCACACGCTGTTGTTGATCATGTACAATATCGATTTGTTTGCGATTTCAAATAATTAAAAAAAAAAATGTTTGTAGAAACTGTTAAAACTCCTTTGCACTAGGAAGCCTGCATATTGCCTTAGTGAAACGGCTTACGAAAGGGAAACACGAAGTAATATCACCAAACACACTGGACTGTTATTGGTCGCTGCTAATGAACAGTCAGCTACACAAGATAATAATTACAAGGGGCTGAAAACTCAAGCTTGGTTTTGATTGCCTCTATCACCTTTACACAGTTCAGGCTTTTTGAGCGATTTGGACGATATGGAGGATTACATGAAAACCAGACTTAAAAGCAAAATTACGAACTTCTTCAACAGACATTTTGAATCGTTTGCATCTTACGCAACAGCGAGTATCACTAAGGAAAACGGAAATCACCTCTAAATAGCGGGAAGGGGCTGTGTCCAGTAGACCTAAGGAGTGGCTACACGAGGGTATTAGGTTTCAATCGGTTGTACCAGTTACATGGTATAGCTACAACCAGTTGCAATAGTACTTGAGACACTGTACTGTACCTATTTTGGCTGTCCATATCTTGTGCTTGTGATCCACCCTCCACCCCTTATCAAAGTTGCTAGCAATACAAGACCATGCTCAAAACTTGGAGGAACAACTTTGAATGGAAAGGAGGAGGGAGGTGAGGTGTGTGACTAGCAGCGATTTGAAGTAGTACAAATCGGTTTTTCGTAAAAGTGTCTCAACATTTTTTCAACTGGTTGTAACCCGAGCCGAAAAGAGTTTTGAACCATAACATGGAACAGCCAAAAATGCAATGAACTATTTTGTGTTTACGTCGAAAAGTAGAAAGCTGTATTAGGAAATTAATGGCGCTTCTAGTTGAGTTACAAATCAAGTAATACTAGTATAGGAGCCCATACAAAAGTGACGGGGAAGCTCGTCTTCTTGCTTAGGAGTAGGAATTACGAAATTGAGTCTCGCTTAGGGTTCCCAGGACGCAAAGCCAATATATTTTCCATGCAGGTATCGTCTCGCGCAAGATGAGTTCATTCTCTCTTCCTTGGGGCTGTGCGCGAAAAAATTGTATCTCAAAAAAGGCAAAACACCACAATACTTTGTTGAAGTATCGTCTCCTTTAGGGATTTAATTCTAATTTTCCAACGAGCATCCCGTTCCCTATTATACGGGAGTCACCGCCAACCAACCCTGCCGGTTAGTAATTAATGTTACAGTACGTTAGGCGTTTCCCCTATTTTAAGATTTCTTTTTCCGCAAAATCCACTTTGTTCAAAAACGACATCGCGATCAGCAATGGAAGGTGATGTCTCCTAAATGAAGCCCCATTGGTTCTTATTTATTATTCAGGTTTCTTCAACCAAATGAACAAAGTAAACTCTCTTCGGCTGAAAATTCGTTGACCTCATGCCCCATTGCTGAAAATTCTACTCTGCTCTCATTGGATGAAAAAAAACTGAACATCTGACACACTGTGACCCAGGCTCACATGAGTGATGGACTCTTGAGTTTGATGGACTCCTGGTTTTACTCATGATGATTACGTATCGCATGCAGTGTGTACGCTTAGAGGTACAAAAATCTCTCGATCTACTCCAGCGTAATTTTAAGTATCCCTGTGTTTTGAGTAACTCCGTATACAAATCCCTCGTGATGCCGTTTTTTCTTTATTTCAGGTCAGTGTTACGGGTATCCCATAATACCCTACCGGGATACTAACATCCTTTGTTATTTGGGTTGTTGTTTCGAGGTGCTTTCCTTCGCAGCGTACCCTGGGTATCCCCTAGTACCCTACCGGGAAACTAACATCCCTTCTTATTTGGGTTGTTGTTTCGAGGTGCTATCCTTCGCAGCGTACCCTGGGTATCCCCTAGTACCCTACCGGGAAACTAACATCCCTTGTTATTTGGGTTGTTGCTTCGAAGTGCTATCTTTCGCAGCGTACCCTGGGTAGCAAGCGTGATCCGTACCAGCGACGTGCCGCCGCGGATCATGCCTGCCACTCAAGCTACTCACAGTATTTTGTATCTTGGACAGGAATTCCGGCAAATAAAATGGCTTCGTGTGATTGTTTACAGGGTCCCTTGTGTGATTATTTTGCACACAAAAAGACACTGCACGCACACGTAAAATGTTGCATCAGTATAAGAGGAAAGTTTTGACGGCTGGTGGTTTTTGTCTATGTGATCACCGGCAATCGCAATAGCCATTTCTTTTTAAAACACGGCTTTCATTCTAACTTTGTCTTGAAGATCTATTACTGAGCTGGTGGTCGACCATTGTGAAATAAAAACTGCAATTCAATTCCACTATTTGTAAGGACATCGCAACGAACTGACACAACAACAACATTATAAAGAAGTCAAGTTGTAGAGCCAGTTTCAGTGGTTGTAAAACGACCAAGGTAGGATCAGTGTTTTCACCCACATCACCAGGGATTTGAGGGCACGGGTTCAAAATATACTTAAATCAAGAAAACAACCAAAATGCGAGACACTTAGTTTAGGGTGACATGAAAATACGGGGATATTGGGGGGCATCCGAAATGCGAGGATACCTTAATTAAGGAGATACCCAAAATGGGGGATACCAAAATTGGAGGGATATAAGTCATATCCAAGGAGATTTTCGAATACAGAGATACCTAAATGATTGCCACACAGGTGGTAGTAGTCACTGCCCATGCCTGTCCAGTAAGGTACCATTTTATCAAATGTGACTCCCTTTTCTTGCAGTTCTGCCTCTGTAAGTACGCGAAATGTAGGCTGCCATGTACCAATACGGATCGTCTATGATAAAGAAGACAAGCACCAACGGATTAAAAATAACGTAAAGTTAGTTCGTGAACATGGTAGCCATGACTGTTTTGCAAAAACAATGGTGTGTCTCTAATTGCCTACCAACCTCAGCGTGATTGAAAAAGTCATCACTTTAACGAAACGTACACGTGTAATCGTCCTTCTAGAAGGAACATTGTGTAAACAGGTGTCACGGCCGGACCACTATTCGACAAGTTTTCTTTTACAAAATTGTGTCTTTTTAGTATGGATAAGAATGGCGACACAGCTCCTTTGAAGAACGGTTCCTTTTCGTCTACCAGGAGGTTCCTGGGTATTACGAGCATTAATAATGGGAATTACAAAAGAGAAACTTACATGATAATCTGAATTCAAGTTCATGTTCCATTTATTTGTCACGAAGGATGTAAAGTGTGGGAAGGACCTCCAGGTGGCCATCAAGAAGTTCCTTTCATTTGCTAATGTACACAGCTCAATGGCTTCTTTCTTCGTCAGTTGAACGTTTTTAAGTCCGAGATCAGAAAGTTGAGGACTACTTCTGAGACACTTGATTAGTTCAGTCACTCCACGGCCCAGCGGATTTTTGCCAAGCGAAAGAAGCTCCAGTTCTGGTACGTTGATGAGTATATGGGCTAAAGCTGTGACTTCCCCTACACCCATCTGTGTATCATCCAGGTACAGCTTTTTCAGATGAGGTACATTGTGCAGGTGTTTGGCAAACTCACTTATCCCATGACCGAGTGGGTTGTTTGATAAGTGAAGTTCACTCAGCTGAGTCACATTCTTTAAACTATGGGCTAAAGCTTTAACTTCTTCTTCATCCATCTGTGTTTTTTGCAGGCACAGCTTTTCTAGATGAGGTACATTGTGCAGCTGTTTTGCAAGCTCACTTATCCTGTGACCGAGTGGGTTGTTTAATAAGTCAAGTTCACTCAGCTGAGTCACATACTTCAAACTACAGGCTAAAGCTGTGACTTCCTCTTCACCCATCTGTGTAGCCCTCAGGTCCAGCTTTTTCAGATGACGCACACTGTACAGGTGTTTAGCAAGCTCAATTATCCCGTGACCAAGTGGGTTGTTTGACAAGTCAAGTTCACTCAGCTGAGTCACATACCTTAAACTACGGGCTAAAGCTGTGACTTCCTCTTCACCCATCTGTGTAGCTCTCAGGTACAGCTTTATCAGATGAGGCACACTGTACAGGTGTTTAGCAAGCTCAATTATCCCGTGACCAAGTGGGTTGTCTGACAAGTCAAGTTCACTCAGCTGAGTCACATACTTTAAACTATGGGCTACAGCTGTGACTTCCTCTTCACCCATCTGTGTAGGACTCAGGTCCAGCTTATTCAGATAAGGCACACTGTACAGGTGTTTAGCAAGCTCAATTATCCCGTGACCAAGTGGGTTGTTTGACAAATCAAGTTCACTCAGCTGAGTCACATACTTTAAACTATGGGCTAAAGCTGTGACTTCCTCTTCACCCATCTGTGTAGCACTCAGGTCCAGCTTTTTCAGATGAGGCACACTGTACAGGTGTTTAGCAAGCACACTTATCCCGTGACCGAGTGGGTTACCTGATAACCGCAGTAAGCGTAACTTATCGACATACGTTAAAGCAGTGGCAAGTAAGTGACACTCTTGATTCTCCATACCAACATGACGTACATCGAGCTTGGATAGTCGAGGCACATGGTGAAGAGTTTTCAGTAAACTGACAAGTTCACTTGTTGGTCCCCAAATTTCACTCTCTCTCACATATGACAGAGAGTGTGTCAGAGTCTGCTCAGATGTTTTCTTAGTTAACTGCAAAGAGTTGCAAACATCATGATTGTGTGACACGTGATCAGGCTCTTGAAGAGAAGGCTTTGGTGCTGATATCAATGATGTAAGCATTTCAATGAATTTCGGACTGGTCCGGCTAATGAACTCAAGGCGAGTTAAACAGAACACTAATCGATGTCCAACTTTCTTTATGACAAACTCTTTACGTTTTAGATCATTGTACCTACATGTATTTATGGATTTTACGTCACCATAAAATGTCACAACAACAGTGTCCAAATCGGACATGACAGAGAACATTTGATCAACCAGAACTTTTGACTCACGTGGGGAGTCTGATGTAAAAAATACATAATCTGGCTTATCATGGAAATTTGTCGATCTCAGGCAATGTTCGCTGGAAACTTTAGGCAGTTGTTTGTCCTCTATCACTACAAGACCGTTAACGCACTGCAGAAATGAAGGATAGACATTTTCCCTCTCTGAAGTAGGGCAAGAAAGGAAAAGATCGAGACTAACACGATAAAACTCTCTTTGTTCTCTAGTGAGCTCCTCAATAGAGGGGTTTTCACCGAAGTTGTAATCAGTCAGACCTTCTTTTTCTCCTGTCATCTTCAGATGGCGAAAAATAGCAACGGTGGCTTCTGATGACAACTCCGAAACAAATTTGAAAACTTCCAACACCTCGTCGAACTGTTTTAAAAAGTCGAGTTTTGACAGGCAATTGAAAGTTTCCTTCGCATTCTTTAAATCCCGAACAATAAATAAGGCGGAAAGAAACTCTTGAACCGATTTATGGAGAAAGAACGCCAGTTTCTCGGGACGAGGAGAGTTTGAAAGATTAGAAGTCTGTAGAAAGCCAAAATCAATAAACTTCTCAAGGAATAACCGAATGTCCTCAGGCACGTTGCTGAGCTTGAAATAAAGACAGTCATTTAAAAGTGCCTGCCAGGCAAGCTCCCCTAACTTTGCAAGATCTTCCTTGTATTCATCTATGCTTCTAAATGTCCTGTCTGAGGTTTTGGTGGTGACGTGATCAAGCAGCGTCTGACAAAAACTGCTATACAGAAGGGCGCGGGATGCTGATGGTCCTTGATAATCATTAACGTTCCAGCTTAGAACCAACATTAACAGAAGAAGTGGTATTTCCGCTAAGGCCCCCAAGCTGTGTTCACGCAAGAAACGCAAGAACTTGTCTACTTTTGCTTGGTCTCGAAGAAATTTAAGAGCAAATGTTTTAACTTGCCTCTGATCAAACCCATTAATTTCAAACTGAGCATGACTCCCTGGTCTTAACTCATCTTTTTTCAGCGATCGTGTTGTCACAAGAAGTGTGCAATCTCTCAACTGACTGCCTTTCCAAATCAGATGAAATGGCGATGATTTTTCGGCGCTGTATTCATCATAACCGTCTAAAATAAGTAGGACTTTCTGTTGGTTGTGAAGAATGTATTCATACAATTGGCTAAACACCATAGGGTCACCTGCGGACAACAGCTCCGCCTTTTGTAGCATGGCACAGAAGTCTGGCGTGTTGCAAACATCACGGAGCTTGATTAAAAGTACAACAGCAAACTTCGTTAGGATTTCTTTATTACCTCGTGACCAGTCAACGGCGAGTTTCTTTGTCAATGTCGACTTTCCTATTCCTGGCCTCCCATACACTAAAATTCTGTTAGGAATTAGATGATGACCATGGCTTGCGAATAGCTCACTGTAATCTTCAAGCTCTTTTTGTGTTGTTCCAGTAAGTTTTCTGTCATCTCTCAGCAGTGTTAACTGTACATACACCTCATCAATGTCCATGGTATTATCTCGGTCCCAAGGGGTAATCATTAACTGGCTTGCGGTGCTGTTGTAAAATGAGCAAAGCTGATTTTGACTCCACTCCAAAAAAGCAGTTGTAGCATCTGTTTATAAAGAAAAGTGAATCTCTTTCAACGTAAATCCTGTCTAACGCATTGAGCAGTAGGAAGTTAATTGTACAAGTTTTGTGGTAGAACTGATAAAAAGGCTGCTGCCTAAGAAATGTTTTTGGGAGCCCGTCGGGCTCCTCTAATAAAAAGTTAGTAGCCTGAGCCACTTTCTAGGAACCCAATTCAAAAACTCAGTAACTTTAATAACTGTGTCAAACTTCTAGCACACGACAACTGGTGCACCCGAGGTTTTTTATTTCATTGTATTTCAAGAACAGAACCCTGTATTTAAACCTAGTTTTAATTAGTTCACCAGAATGACCCTATCGGTATTGTCTGTATCTTAAGCTGACAGTCTCGACCAGATCCTCAAAACTTGATGCACGCTTCTCGAAACTTAAGTCTCCCTTTTGACCCGTCACACAACGCTAAGAAGCGAGACAAAAACCGGAAGAATACTCGAGACTCGAACGAATCGAGTTTTGAAACGCGAAAACCGAGTCTCGAGTTTCGAGAAACCAGCACTTTTTAAATTCACCACTCGAAAGGATTTCGAGAAACGATTTACTTCTCGAGAAACATAATAACCATTCGCACGTACAGCGAACGCACCGACCAACAGCACTTGCGTGTACATTTACGCGAAGTAGAGTTTTAGTTTTTAGGCGATAAAAGGGACGACAAAAGGTTTTTATCTTGAAGTTTGGAAAATTGATCTTTTGAACTATCAGAACTGTTTTTATATTTGTGAAGGTTTAATTGCATTTACGTGCGTCGCGAGCGATGGCGTAAATTAACTACGATCTTGAATAGCCGCCGTGAATCATTTTAAAAAACTGAAATGTTTTGGCGAGCCTTTTAAAAGTTATAGCAAAAAATCGAAATGATAAAAGAAACCTCCGAGTGTACCGTTCGTGTTCGTAGCAAGATAGAAAATGCTACAAACTTGCAAAATCCTATATGTCACGTGTAATTTGAAACCTCTTGCTTTTTTACGGATCGCGTCTTTTTATCAGTTTTTACTTCATTCAATAGCGACATTACGTTTCTAACGCTGGGTGAAAAGTCATGATTTTAATATCGAAGGTTTTTCGAAGACTATTCAATTTACCCGACGCCATTTTCAGACAAGAAACTTCAACTGCACAGCAGCGGAAGTCACGGAAGCGAATTTAACGACAAGTGCTTACAATTGGTTGTTTGTTTACCTTTGATCGGCGGAAATATTTTTTTGCCTACGGCCGAGGACCAAACGTTTTCCGTTTTCGTTTCAAAATGCAGAATGAGCAGGGAATTTTGTTGTTTGTTCACCGAAAGTTAGCCTGAGAATCATAAGTTTTAGGCGCCCTTTCGGGCTCCCTCTTTGAAATTTTGGTCGCCCGAGGGTAAATTGTAGGCGCCTCTGGCGCCCTGGCGTCCGTTAGGCAGCAGCCTTGTGATAATTGTAGTTTTTCTCTTACGGCCATTTACATCTAAGCGTGAGATAAAAATAGAGCCTGATCTCAGGTTAACACTGGACCAAGATTCTTCCTGCGTTAAACTTATTACCAAGTCTTACACCACTGGTTTTTTAAACAACCTTCTGTTTCGAGGCTGACTTTTTGATCAATTTTTAAGATAACTATAGATTTCAAAACTTTGATACTACAGTACTGACCTCCCCTTCTTTAGTTTTAAAAAATCAAAATGTCCTGATTATTTTACTGTTAAACTCAGAAAACCGTGAATACCTGAAAAATTTCAGAAATGTTGATTGTGTACTGGCCAATCACAATAAAGTTCAGGACACGCAAGCAACCTCAAAACTAATTAAGGCTGGTTTTCACCAGCGACGGAGTCGGAATCGTAAGCGGAGTCGTAAGAGCGCTTATGACCTAGTGAAAATCAAAGATCGGAGTCATAAGCGGAGTCATAAGCTCGACGGAATCGGAGTCAGAAGAATCAGAACGTTTCCATTTCTTCCGACTCCGCTTACGACCCGTCGCTTACGCTCCGCTTATGATCTAGGGTGCGTTCGATTGGGAAATCCGGATTTAGATTTTCAAAATCTAAATCCGGATTTCCCAATCGAACGCGAACCTCCGAGAAATCTGTCCTCAGGGTGGATTTAAATTAAGAAATCCAAATCCGGATTTCATGGATTTCCCTTTTACCGTTCGATTGGGAAATCCGAAAAAGGATTTGCAAAACTATTCTCGTGAACAGTGTTATTCGTTTTGCTAAATATGCGTGCGCCGGGAAGACGGCTGTTCTTAAGGACAGTTTTTCAACTCCTTTTTCGGATTTCCCAATCGAACGGTAAAAATGAAAATCCAAAAACAGATATCTCAGCGTTGAAATCCGTTTTCGGATTTCGCGTTCGATTGCAAATCCGAAATCCGGATTTTAAAATCTAAATCCAGATTTCCCAATCGAACGCACCACTAGTGAAAACTAGATTGTCGGAGTAGGAAGCAGAAGCGGAGGGATAAACCAATCACAATGCACGTTCCCACGCTTTGTGATTGGTTTAGTTCTTCCACGTCTGTTTCCGACTCCGACAATCTAGTTTTCACTAGATCATAAGCCGAGCGTAAGCGACGGAGTCGTAAGCGGAATCGGAACACTGTTTTCACCAGATCATAAGCTCTACGCTTCTGATTACGACTCTGACTCTGTCGCTAGTGAAAACCAGCCTTTACCGTTGCTGTGTGCGGTTTAGTTATCTCGCGCCTTATTGGCTTATTTCTCGCAACACAATAACATTCCAAAAATATTTCTGGTGTTCACTGTTTTGTGAGTTTCACAGTAACTCGTTCACTGCCGTTACACATGGCTTTAGAAGCTGTGTTGTTGTTTTGTACAGTAAATCAGTCGCTCAGGCTAAGGGTGGGAAAACCTTACAAATTTAACAAATAAGCTAAGGAACAGAGTGCAAATAGTAGCTAATTAGACAAGAGAACTTAACAGAGGAGAGGGAAGAGGGTCTTTTTTCAATTAAATGGAACACATGTACTGTAAACGTTCGAATTAGCACCCGCCTTCAAATAAGTGTTCCCCCACCCACTCCTCCAAGGACAAAATAATTTTGCCCAATTATTAGCTAATTATACACGACACCCCTGATACGAGAGTTTCAAAAACATAAACCATAACAAGAAAAAACAAACAAAAAAATTATAACCAAAAACAAGAGAAAAACAACACGAGGAAGGGAAAATGAACGGAAAATGTATCTTAAACTCGTAACATGTTGGATTGCTTACATGTACAATGTAGCATTAAACATTAAGGCCCCCGTCCACACAAATCTGGATATTTCTGAAGCCACACATTTTCTTCATCACAAGACGGCCTTCCCTCAACACTGAACCAGTGAATCCGCTCACTCATCTGCGTCCTATTCATGCAAAAAATTTGTGGTTTCAAAAAAGATCCGGATTCGTGTGGACTGGAGCCATAAATTGGTACCTGAAGGACTTGGTAACTGTTCCTTTGATCTGCTGGCTGAGGTCTGCTCTGATATATCTTCAACAAAAAGAGATCTCTCACTTACATTCAAGAAATCTACTAGAAATAACTGCTACTAATAACCTCACTAGAAGTGCATACGCTAGAAGTGCATATCAAGGCTATAAGTTGTGTGTTCGATTGCGAAATCCGGATTTCTGATTTTGGAATCGAACGCGAAATCCGAAAACGGATTTGATCTCCGAGAAATCTGTCCTCAGGGTGAAAGGGTGAATCCAGATTTTATGGATTTCCTTTTTACCTCTCGATTGGGAAATCCGAAAAAGGATTTGCAAAACTATTCTCGTGAACAGCGGTCTTCTTTTTGCTAATTATGCATGCACATGCTAGACCGCGGTTCTTAAGGGCAGTTTGTCAAATCCTTTTTCGGATTTACCAATTGAACAGTAAAAAGGAAAATCAGAAATCTCAGTGTTGAAATCCGTTTTCGGATTTCGTGTTCGATTGCAAATCCGAAATCCGCATTTTAAAATCTAAATCCAGATTTCCCAATCGAATGCACCCTTAGAAAAAGAAATATAGCTATGTGGTCAGCTCAATATGACTGCTGAATAAAAAAAACCAGACTCATCAGAGAACACTTGGTGGCGGTTGTTAAATAGAGGATATTACATGATAGCGCGTGGATACAAATTTTATCTTCGAGTGTTCAACTCGATATCTCACAACGAGTGAGCACAGCGAACGAGCGAGATATCGAGAGGCTGTGATGCTCTTTTCCTATTGGCTGAGACTCAAGTAGCCATGACAACCATGATATCTTCACACGTGAAGGATAAAAATTGTATCTTCACTGGATACCAAATTTTCGTCACTGGAAAAATCCTGGTATTTCATCGGTGTCTATATAATTAACCTAACAAAAGTTCGTCAACCTATACCTCATTTCGCAACAAAATCCACAACTTTTTTTTGTTCAGTTACTCTCACTTACATTCAACACTGAATCTACTAGAAATAACTGCTACTAGTAACATCACTAAAAATGCATATCAAGACTAGTGTAGTTGTAACACTTAAAAAAAGAAATACAGCTATTTGGTCAGCTCAATATGACTGCTGGTAAAAAACAGACTCATCAGCTAAGAACACTTGGTGGCGGTTGTTAAACAATAGAAGGTTCTTGTAAATCTAATTACCCTGTTTCACACAAAATCCTCAACTTTTTTTTGTTCAGTTTCATGACTGTACTTCAATCTCTTTTTGGTTTAAAATGACAAGAGATCTCTTCCATTTTCTTACAGTTTGTGGGTTCCTTTAAGAAACCATAACAAATATTAATAACTACACCAAAAAGAAACAGAAAAAGATGTCATGTGTGGCACCTCCCCCATAATGCAGTGTTGAGCTTACTATGGCAACAAGGAAGTACATTCTAACACACCACTAGTTCCCGTAAAAAAAAAAAAACATGCCAAAAAGGGAAATAACAGTATGAGAAATATTTACCTTGGTAATGAGGCCATGAATGAAAAACACAGGGCTCACTCAAAATGTGGGCAACAAGAGATGCTGCCATCACACTAGCACAGGACAACCAACTCTCTGAAGGCAACTGGGAACCATCTGCATAATCAGCTATTCCTTTAACAATTAACCACTCAATTTGACAGTCAAATGCTGCTGTGAACACTCCTATAGAACAACAAAGAAAATGGCACTTGAGTTGAAGACACTCCTACATCAATATACAGTAGTTTACATTATTTTGCACATCTAACTTTCCATAAAAAAGGAAAAAAAAATTAAAAGCTAACTGGAGTTGGAAAATGGATGAAAAATGAGGAAGATGTGAACTGTGGAAATATGTACCTCCCCCTTCCCAGTTGTGTCAGTTTGGATGCGGTCATAGACAGCTTACACCTTAATTGCTCTGGCGGACATACTTCACGCAGGTATTAGGACCTCTATTCATCTTCAGTGGTGAATTGCTTTTCTTTAGTTTTTATTACTAGGGACTTTGGGGTTAGTGTTTAATGCCCTTGGGGAAACCAGGTCCTGTGACTCCCCTGTTTGTGCCATGCACCTTCCCCACACCCATCTATTGCCAATGGGTTAATGTGGCTAAATGTATGTAATTTAGGCAGCCGTCTCCATCACTAATTGTATATGGGGCGGTCTTGGGCTTTAGCATACTTTACAGCACTTTCACTGAAGTGAATAATTTTGCTCAAGTTGCTATGTCAAATCAGTCAATCAAACAATCAATCTTTTATTCATATTTGCCAATTAATTACTAATGTATTACATCATAACATAATCCATTACCAGGAGATCTCTGCAAGCTCAGCTGAGCTTTTCCAAGGAGATCCCCTTTAATTTAAGCATTACAAACATTCATATTGAATATGGTGGCCTTTCATATTATTAAGCAGCGAGAGTATTACACTGTATGTGTGTTCCACTATGTAGAGTCAGTATATTTCTGTTGAACAAAACATTTCAATTTTCTTTTAAACAACTGCAATGACTTAACGCAAGAATAAATGAGAAAAAAAGCGAAAAACTACACACAACCATTAAGAGAACTAACGTATCCTTATACCAAAGAAAAAATGACTTAAGTTTAGAATTAAACAAGGCAATACTAGAGGCAGTCTGAATTTCAGAGCTAAGGGAATGAAATATTTTGGGCCCTTGAAAACAAAGTGAAAATTTCCTTACATTTGTCCTGCAGTAGGAGAAATGGATGGAATTCTTACTTCTATATGAATGTACGTCACAGTTAAGCAAAAACATGTCATTGAAACTGTTATGATGAAGGCCCTTTTTATTAAGGTATATAACTTTACTTATTTGGAGTTTGATAGTATCTTCAAATTTTAGAATTCGTAAGCTTACAAAAATAGGATTGGCATGTGCATCAAAAGGACCCCTGGAAACTATTCTAATAAAGCATTTTTGAAGATTAATCAAACGCTTAAGGGTTTAATGGGTTTAATTTGCAGATATCATTATAATTGTAACAGCAATCTAAGCAATTGCAAATTTTAGCTTAAAACAAATTAGGGGGGAGGGGTGGGGGGGCTCCAAAGGAAGTTGAACCCATGGTGTCTGCATTATCATGACACCGTGCTCTAACAACTGAGCAATGAAGACCCATTCAATGGGAGCAAGCCCATCTTTACAGCAAAAAATATTATAATATCAAACTCAAACAAGCATTCAATGAATTGAACAATGCCTTGAAATAGACACTCACTCAAAAGCAATATACACTTCTACAGAGTTAAAAGAGACTTGACTGCGCGCACTTCCTTCCTAACAATGGCTGCATAAAAAGTCAACTCACCTTCTCCTTCATTTTCTATTGCCATTGCCCGAGGATTGGTTTCAGCAAGTTGATCACGCCGCCACTCAGCCCTGACTTCTTCTGGTCCACTCAAAAACTCAGCATCAGTATAAACTTGAACTTGCTGAGCTTCAGGATTCTTCAAAGGTGTTTGCCATCCATCAGTGCAATTTTTAATGACATTCAGAAAGCGTTTGCTAACATAACTTCTCATACCAGTTGACTGCTCTTGATTGCTGGTCACTACTTTCGATGCATATGTTGCTAATTTCGCAGACACAACAACATCTCCTAACTTGGATTTTGCAGGGTTCAGGCCACTACATGTTCCTACTGAAATGACTGCTTTGGGTCTTAGCACAGAGGCTGCATTCTTTACAGATACAAGAGAACCACCAGGACCAATACCATTTTTATAACATCTTAGTAAAGCAACTTTTAACTCCTCTTGACTTTCACCCACATCAGAAAAGTAAACATAGCCAAGACCATCAAACCAACATCTATAGGGATTTTTTAGCTCACTATAACAAGCTAAGAACTCACAGTTTGTAACTGTAAGTAACAGAATGTCAACTGGCAGATCAGCATGTTTTGAAGGTTTGGTAATTGCCTTGATATCAGCGGAGGATGGAAGAACTTTATTAAGCTCAGGAGGGTCCCCTTGAGGGCTGCTTGTATCATCTTTAGATGGGAGTCCAGTTGTAACCTGGGGTGTGATGTCATCACTGCCATCATGTGAAGATTCTGACATTTCGGATTCTAACCATTGCATAAAAAACATAACATTACCTAAAAACTACAGTGTATTACACAGATACATTATGGTGAATAAAGTCAATTAATAGTCTAATTTTATTAAGGTACAAATCATTTGGTGGAGGAATTTTAAAATTAACTGCACTTGTGAATATCAGACGTAGCCTATGGAAGAGAGCTAGCAGAAGTTCTAGGGCTTCGTACACTGATCGCCACGGTCATTGACAATGTCTCCAGCCATGGGTGTCTCCAACACGAGAATTGTTGGTGCATTAACACACTCATAGCTAAAGACCAAGTCTATTAAGCCGTTGTGAACTAACATAATATTATTTTATGAGGGTGAGCAAAATATAGCGATTTGTCAGTACAAGGTGGTGAGCAGATCAATAATTATTCAGCATGTGCAAATAATTAATAGACATTGAAAAATCATGATATTTCATGGAGCCGAGTTTAATAATCATTTGAGATTTCAAAACGAGTTTGTTACACCTTGTAATAAAAAGTCTAAGACACAGAACGGTGATAGTACCAAAAACTATAGATTTAAAATGATCCATTACCCTGCTGAATCTACATGAACTAAGAGACTACAGAGATTTTTGTGTAATATGTAAAAAACGAGGGAGAGTGCTTCATCAGAAACAGATGAAAGCATGAGGCTGTGATGTCTTCTCAAATGAAAAATAAGAAATTATGCAGTGAAATGTTTTCTCTGGTATTTCATTGTTTCCATGAGTTGTGTGAGTCAACACCATTAAAATGCAAGTGTTTGATCTCAGATGAAAAATGTGTTTCACCTCAGATGAAAACTTGGTGCAGGTGTTTTATCTGGTGTTTCATATTTAGATATCAAGATTCATCCACCTGAACCAAATGGTTGTCATTTATTGGCTCTTGACTGCATGATCATGAATAATTAACGAGTTTGAAAAGTAATATATCAAAAACGACAGGCATGGTTTTATCCGATATCCAGACACCGAAAAGTGGGTTGAAAAATGAGGTGTAGCCGAGTTTTTAAAGACTGACTTCAAGGTGCACATGTCTCGATATCGGATGAAATACTGTGTGGAGTTTTTGATGTAGCTTCTCAAATGAACTACCATAAATAATCTATTAAGCGCAGCACCTTTACCAAAAATAATTTAACAGACATGAATAAGCACCACCGCGGCACTAATTTGGGTATTTACATATTAAGGCCCCACCTCTGTTACGGTGCTTGATATCCCTTGAGAAATAAGACTTCAACCAACTTGTGATTTCTAAAGTTTTAATGTAGGGAAACTCTTGAAACCAGGTTCATATAACAGTTCAAGATGACCATATTTCATACTAAATCGTGCATACCAAGTACGCGCCTCACTTAATCCTGTCCATATTCCCCTCAGTGTTTTACCCGTAGTTGAAAGAAGTGCTGCTCTCAAATAAGTGCCACTCTCGTATAAGTGTTGCGGCGCTTAATCAATCATTTATGGTACAATTCTTGGAGAAAGTCAAAGATAAATTTCACAAACTTTTATGATAATAATTATCTGATATCCAAACCACCGTCACAGTAAGTTGTGATTTTCTTTGTTTTCTTCTTTACGAACAAGTTTGAGAAATTATGTTTCTGCGAAAACGGGAACCAACACTGCACATGATCAGATCAGTTTAATTAGTGCGTTAAGTCATCTGAAATGTTCATTTGACATGTATGAATTAAATGCAATTTGCTACTTCTACATATGATACAGCAGATAATACATGTCTTGTACCCCCGGCCTCACTCCAGGCAAATTTTGCAATGGAATTGAAAAGAGAAAACAATACTTTGCCAAATTATGGGTGGTAACCAAGGTGTATTATGGGCATGCAATATAAAAGTGGCCACCTTACAATTCAAAGCTCAACCTTAAACCTACAAAAAGACCCAAGACTCCATGTTACAAAATATTCACTGTCATGACGTTATGCTCTCTTTTGCAAAACAATGCACACTACATTCCTCCACATTTCCTATTGGTAAAGTATCCTGCAAACTTGGACGACACAAGTATTTGATTATAGGTTTTTACGGCAAGTAGGTTTGTTCACACTTGCAATGCTCAGAAAACATGGGACTGTAGGCATTTTGAATGCCATTTGCATGTTTACATCGGAACTTTAGTTTGCATTCACTTCCAGAACCGTAAAAAAACTATACTCAAACACATAGATAAAGATATTCCAGAGTTTAAGCAGATCCATTCTACAACTCATTAGTGGTATTCATAAAGAATAATTCATAAAGAGAAAACAAAGAAGATCACAACTGTGACGGTGGTTTGGATATCGGACAGTGGCAGATCCAGGGGAGGAGCCCTAGCGGGACCAGGCCCCCCTCTTATTTTTAGACCAAACTGATGAGGCCTGAAGGGCCCCCCCCATTATCTCCAGGTCTGGACCTGGCACTGTCGGATACTAAATACCATAAAATTTTAACAACTTTATCTTTGAACAGATATGCAACATGATGATTTTTTTACAATTGTTTCATTATTATCCTGAGAGACTGAAAAAAAGCTTTGTTTTACCACCCTCAACCTTGCAGTGAAAAACTTAGGCACAAGGCTAGACAGGTAACAAAGCTAATTCAGTTTCTCAGGACAAAGTGGGCGCCGTGTGACAAAGGCCCATTAAGGGCTCTTACAGACTAAGGACTCAGGTCACAGACTATAACCTATTTCTTTACCTGCTGTTTTTGAGTGATCATTATCAGCAGACTCTTGTTTTGAAACGACATCTGTAACAGTAACAAGAATAAATTTGAACAAGACTGAAAATTTACAAGTCACTCAGTTCGCTGACGTTGAGGGGGATTATTGAAAAACACATATGCAGGTATCACAGCATTTTTAGTACCAAACTGTTATTTTTGCATTTTTTGCGTGTTTCTGCGAACACGGGAACCAACACTGCGCATGATCAGATCAGTTTAATTAGTGCGTTAAGTCATCTGAAATGTTCATTTGACATGTATGAATTAAATGCATTTTGCTACTTCTACATATGATACAGCAGATAATACATGTCTTGTACCCCCGGCCTCACTCCAGGCAAATTTTGCATAGGAATTGAAAAGAGAAAACAATACTTTGCCAAATTATGGGTGGTAACCAAGGTGTATTATGGGCAATATAAAAGTGGCCACCTTACAATTCAAAGCTCAACCTTAAACCTACAAACAGACCCAAGACTCCGTGTTACAAAATATTCACTGTCATGACGTTATGCTCTCTTTTGCAAAACAATGCACACTACATTCCTCCACATTTCCTATTGGTAAAGTATCCTGCAAACTTGGACGACACAAGTATTTGATTATAGATTTTTATGGCAAGTAGGTTTGTCCACACTCGCAATGCTCAGAAAACATGGGACTGTAGGCATTTTGAATGCCATTTGCATGTTTACATCGGAACTTTAGTTTGCATTCACTTCCAGAACCGTACAAAAACTATACTTAAACACATAGATAAAGATATTCCAGAGAGTTTAAGCAGATCCATTCTACAACTCATTAGTGGTATTCATAAAGAATAATTCATAAAGAGAAAACAAAGAAGATCACAACTTTGACGGTGGTTTAGATATCGGACAGTGGCGGATCCAGGGGAGGAGCCTCAGGGGGCCCAGGCCCCCCTCTTATTTTTAGACCAAACTGATGAGGCCTGAAGGGCCCCCCCATTATCTCCAGGTCTGGACCTGGCACTGTCGGATACTAAATACCATAAAATTTTAACAACTTTATCTTTGAACAGATATGCAACGTGATGATTTTTTTACAATTGTTTCATTATTGTCCTGAGAGACTTAAAAAAAGCTTTGTTTTACCACCCTCAACCTTGCAGTGAAAAACTTAGGCACAAGGCTAGACAGGTAACAAAGCTAATTCAGTTTCTCAGGACAAAGTGGGCGCCGTGTGACAAAGGCCCATTAAGGGCTCTTACAGACTAAGGACTCAGGTCACAGACTATAACCTATTTCTTTACCTGCTGTTTTTGAGTGATCATTATCAGCAGACTCTTGTTTTGAAACAACATCTGTAACAGTAACAAGAATAAATTTGAACAAGACTGAAAATTTACAAGTCACTCAGTTCGCTGACGTTGAGGGGGATTATTGATTTCGGAGACCGTTCCCCACCCCCTCTCTAAGGTCTGGATGACCGGGCCCCCCTTATCTCCAGGTCTGGACCTGGCACTGTCGGATACTAAATACCATAAAATTTTAACAACTTTATCTTTGAACAGATATGCAATGTGATGATTTTTTACAAATGTTTCATTACTGTCCTGAGAGACTGAAAAAAAGCTTTGTTTTACCACCCTCAACCTTGCAGTGAAAAACTTAGGAACAAGGCTAGACAGGAAACAAAGCTACTTCAGTTTCTCAGGACAAAATGGGTGCCGTGTGACAAAGGCCCATCAAGGGCTCTTACAGACTAAGGATTCAGGTCACAGACTAACCTATTTCTTTACCTGCTGTTTTTGAGTGATCTCTGTCAGCAGACTCTTCTTTTGAAATAACATCTGTAACAATAACAAGAATAAATTTGAACAAGACTGAAAATTTAGAAGTCACTCAGTTCTCTGACGTTGAGAGGGATTAGTGAAAAACACATATGCAGATATCAGAACATTTTTAGTACCAAACTGTTATTTTTGCATTTTAATGAATATGCAAGGTAGGCTGGTAGACCTAGTGCATGTCATAAAGTCAGTCAGGTTACCAAACAACAGCAATTGCAATATCATAATTTCTTATAAATGTGTTAATCTATAGGTAAAACGTCAAGGGCAAATTTCATGACTTGTTTAGTGAAAGCAGTCTTTCAAAGGACTGCAAATTTGTGACTGAGTTAAATAGTTTTTTATTCAATTGCTAACAAAGCTTAACAACATGCAGTTAACGTTGATGACAATCAATGTTTACTTCAAAGTATATAATTATACGTGGGTATAATTAATATTGTCAATATTTCACATGTATTTTAATTGCACTATTTCTATTTTTATTCCATGGTATTTATTATTTCTCTAAAATGAACGAATTGAAATAAATATATGATTGATTGATTGATTGATTGATTATAATTGACAGTGAGACCTCCCATTTAAATATATCCTCAATTTGCAGGAAGTCTCAAGATTAATTGTTGCTGTTTATTAGTATAATTATACACACTGAGTGATCTCGTGATTCAAGCAATCTGATTGGTTTGCTATCTCGGACTATGACATTTAAAATAACTAAGATAGTATGCGCATTCTGATTGGTTAAAAACCTACAGTTTATTGTGCTGGTAAACTCATAGAAAACTTAAAGTTATTTTATGAAAGCAATACGCCACACTTTCTATGGGTTTACCGGCGTGATAACCCACGCGGGATGTTGGGAGAACACTCGAAAAGCTTGGAAATCACTTGCCTTCGGCTCATGATTTACAAGCTTTTCTCGTGTTCTCCCAACATCCCGCGTGGGTTATCACACCGGTAAACCCATAGAAAGGGTGGACATTGCTTAGATATTCAAAGCACTAGGCGGTGAATATATATAAAGCAAAACAAAATCGCGACCATGAAGTTTCAGTCGAGTAAGAACTTTTTGAAAATACAAGAATATCCCAGTGGCGATGATTTTGAAGGTCAGAAAAGACTTCCATGGTGTTTAAACAGCGTGATTTATTGTGAAGTGATTTACTGTACTTGACTTTCATATGCTCAAAGCAATGTTTTTACCACTACAGAGGAAAACGAAGCTGCTTTGTTTAACTGTTTTGTGAACTCGGGATTTCATCACAAGACCAATTTTGAGTAGAAGTAGAAGTAAATTTAAGGAGAAAAAAAGTAAAGCAAATAATTTCGAAAACTGCACGTGCCAGCAATTTAACATGGCAAAGAACACTGCAGATAAACAAAGCTCACCTCGATTGTAGCCCGACGCTGTTGACAGCATTTGCAAGAACTGACAAAAAAAAGCTTTTTCCTTCATGGTGAGTTGACAGAGGCAAATAAAGCTCTGTGTTTCTTCTCAGACAGAGGAGTTATTTAAAATTTCGACATTTTCTTTTCAATCATTGATGCTAAAGCTTACTAAAAGCTAAGCTAAAAATGGTAACTGGTAACTATAAAGACAACTACAGTTTAATAGGTCCCTTGCTTGATCAAAATAATTTCAAGGAAGGTGCTCTTTAGTGAGTGAGGCAGCATTGAGGACTAATATAATGTTGATAGCATTGTAGTAACTCACCTTGTAAAGGTATGTTCTCCTCCCCATTATGGTCTTCTTCAATATTTCCTAGCAATAGCTTTGATAGTTCATCCTTTGATATTGCTAAATGAATTATGGTCAATAAACAGAATACAATGGATACTGAGAAGACCACAATAATAGCAATGTTGAGGTTTGATTTCTCTTTGTATCGTAAGTCATTGCATGTGAGCGTTGTGTTTGCTGAAAAACAACTATACTCCGCAGGATATTTAAGTTTCTGGTAACGCAAGAACAGTCCGATCATGACAACTAGAAGGACAAACTGACCGCAGATGTGAAAAATAAACACCCAAAAAAATAGTCTCTCCAACTTTTTTTGTCTCTCTATATTTGCCTCTTTGCGGATGCGTCGCCACATCTCGACACCTAGCAGAGTAACAAACAGCCAGCCAAATCCTGACACACCAAAGGTAATACCAGCAAAACCCAGCGGTGTTAGGTATGAACTCATGGCAGAAGTGTAATTGTTATAACAACGCTGTGTTTTGAATTTAATTTCTTCCGGCATACAGTTGAATTGCAGCCTGTCTCTGCCTTCATAGTCTATAAGTTGATTAATGACAGTGGACCAGGAAATCACAGAGAATAAAAAAAGAAAGCCACTGAATATGGTCTGAGACCTCAATGTAACTTTGACGAGATTATCCATCACAAAGAAGGATCATGTAATCTGAAAGAAACAAAGAATTCACACAGAAAGGTTAGAACCATGGGTAAGACAATTTGGTTATCTGTGCATCCTGAAGAAATTGAACCCACCGTGACTCTATGAATAAATGAACATACAAGTACGTCTTAAGGTGATTCCCTAGTTTTGCACTGCGCATCTCTTACTGCGCATAACAAGATGGCCTCCGTAAAAAAGAGCATGTGAAGTAACATTATTAAAATGAAGTTGACCGAAGAGAAACGCTATTGCAATTTTTGCTTGCGGTTATTTCTTGCCGAGGTGACATTCAATGTGTTGGAAATGTGCCCAACGTAAGCAGTACGTGTGTTGCTGAGTTCGATTTCCTCACGGAGAACCTCGATAGTGGATGTTTAATTTGTGCTTATTCACTTTGATTTTCATTTAAACGCTTTCTTTATCACATTGTGTCCTAAATGTAATATCTCGATGTAGATTCTGTAAAAACAGATTTTTAATACTTTCTTCCCCTTTCGCATACATTCTATTTTGAAACTCGCCCCAGTCCCCTCTCAAAAATCAAGGAAAATGCATGTGGTGCGCACTTTCTGCAGCTCTACCGCAAAAACGAGTACGGTGACCCCCATTTTTTATTTCATGATTTTAATAAGGACAGTGCTTCCTTTCGGTGAGAAAAAAATTGGCACAAATCTATGTTCAGTTTTTTGGCAATTTTACTAAATTGTACGGATTGAGCTATCACGTGTCGAATAGCGCGTGTCCAATTTAATTCTACTTTGGAGCGTAAAGTAAAAACAAGGGCATTAAAAGGCATTTTCCTGGTACGTAAGTGGATAAACAATACATTAAAGTCAAATTCTGTGCGAGACCACATGCATCATTGAAAAAATCTTTCCTTTTTGTCTAGTTTTGGGCTGGGCGTGGTTTTTGTCAAAGGGTCCAAAATAGCCGTATTTGTCAGCATTGTGACGTCAAAACGAGCACGGTGACCCCCACTTTTTATTACCTTTTTATCATCTTCTTGACTTGTTACATCAGTGTACCAAGTTTCATCTACAATCTATGTTAGGTTCTTTTACTAGGGAATCACCTTAACTTAATATGTGAAATTCACAAACAGCTAGCAGAGTGCATTTAAGGTGATTCCCTAGTTTTGCACTGTGCATCTCTTACTGCGCCTAACAAGATGGCCGCCGTAAAACAGAGTATGTGAAGTAATATTATTAAAATGAAGTTGATTGAAGAGAAACGCTATTGGAACTTTTGCTTGCTGTTGTTTCCTGCCGAGGTGATACTCAACAACAAGGACATTAAAAGGTATTTTTCTAGTACGTAAGTAGATAAACAATACATTTAAGTCAAATTCTGTGCGATGCCACATGCATCATCGAAAAAATCTCTCCTTTTTGTCTAGTTTTGGGCTGGCGCTGTTTTTGTAAAAGGGCCCTAAATAGCCGAATTTGTCAGCATTGTGACGTCAAACCGAGCACGGTGACCCCCTCTTTTATTACTTTTTTATCATCTTCTTGACTTGTTACATCAGTCTACCAAGTTTTAGCTACAATCTATGTTAGGTTCTTTTACTATGGAATCACCTTAAAATAAAATTAACAATAATGTAGAATATTGCCGGCCTGACCAATACATTTTGCGGGATGGAACCCGAAGAAGGACATTTTTACTGCCTAAAATCTTTTAGGCACATGGCCAACTTCGCCATTTGAGGCACACGTGATGTTTAAACTGTCTTGTTTTTGGCTTCTAAAATTTTGGAAAACAAATTTTGTCAAAAAAAAAAAATTCAAAACATGTTGCCAACAAAGAATGTTAAATTGCGCATCCAAATGCTTTCAATTGATTGAGTTAAGCCAGAGAAAGTCATGAAAATTAATGAACATTGGCAGATTCCAGTTGAATGAGAAAAATCCAGAGACACAATCATGACTGAAATAACAAACTTCAATTTAAACCATGTGAACAAATAAATTTTGTTTTTAATTCCCTTTTATGCCTGCATTTTTTTCTGGAAACCTTTTATCAGCTAACTTTCAAGTCTGAGAAATTAAGCTTGCAATGAAGTTTATCCCAGACCTTTTAACTCTCACGGTTTGACTGTGAGACTCACGGTTTGGGCTGTCAACTCATGGACTCACAATTTCAATCTAACCCAAGACCAGCTGAAAAAAGTATTCCCTCTTCCACATGAGGTAGCGTTTGAACCTTATCTAAAAGCTTTTCAATACAAAGTCCTTAATTCAATTTTATTTACCAATAAAAAGTTATGCAAAATAGGTTATATTCAAGATAATAAATGTTCACTATGCAAAACGGATTCGGAATCCCTTTACCACATCTTTTTCGAATGTAGACACACCAAGCAGTTTTGGAAGGAATTTCAATATTATTATTACACATTGACAAGAGAATTCATCTGCCTGACCTTACAAGACGTTATTACAGGAATATTATATACAAATTGCCCTTTACTGAATTATTTGATATTGATCGCTAAACTATACTTATGAGGTTTTAGAAGAAATCAGACTCTTCCAGTCATAACTGCCTTTTCATCCAAGGTTAAAATTAAGTATGAAACAGAAAAGTATATATGTGTTAAAACTAATAAAATGGACAAATTTAATAAGAAGTGGGCTCTGCGTTTGGACTCTGTACCCTAGTGCCGTCTGTACTTAGAACATACTTTTCTTTTTTGTATAGTTAATTTACCGTTAAAGTTCATAGTGTAATGTAATGTAATGTATTTGTAATTTATTGTAATGTAATATCATGCAATGTCATGTAACATTAGTATTTTAACGCTGTGCAGTATTTAATAAAAGTTTGAAAAAAAAAAAAAAAAAAAAAATGCACTCACAATTTAGCCTTCAAATCTCATGGTGAATCAGAAGATCTTAAAGTTGCCAGAAAATTCTGGTAGGAGTCACGTAATTTCAAAACATCCGTCTTCAAAATAGCTATATAAATTGTATCAATCTAATTTTCAGAGGAAAAACTCAGGGTCCAATTGTTCCAATCTCATTCCCTTGAAACATAGGATTAGCTAAGCCTTATAGCAAATTCAAATGTCCTATCAACGTGGATTAGTGAAACAAAATCTCAAACTAACTTAGAGACTTCAGGGCCTCCCAGCTTCAGAAGAAAAAAAAAATCAGCAGCTGGAGCAGCCATTGCAAATATCGTAAAACAATTAGGGAAAAGAATACTATGACAGAATATTCTGCCTTTTACTTTTTGGTTTCATTTGACCAATGTTTTTGAAATCTCCACGTTTGGGGAGGTTTGTAGTGTATCATCAAAACTAACCCCCCCCCCAAATAATTTCCTATGAAAATTGCAGCCCCTCCCCTAAACCCCTCCTAGACCACGTTTTAAGATAATCTGTTTGTCTCTCCTTTCTTTCCAATAGGCTGCATTGACTTCATAAGCAAAAATTTATTAGCAGATACTTGTTTAGAAATAGTTTATAGGGTCCTAGGCCAAGCTTGGTTACATAGCAGTCAATATGATGGCTACTGGCAGATGCATGAGGGGTAGCCCCACAGGTTTTTTTGCATAATACAGTAAAGTGGGCTCAATAATTCTAAAGATGTACAATTTTGCTGCTGGCAAGGAACCCTTCGAGTGAATATTTTTATGCAGTCAGTACTCTTGAAGGAAACGTGGATTTGCTTCAATGATAATATAGTTTGTTGACAACTTTTACAGAGAATGTTACATGTAAGTCTTGTATCTTACAATTTCAACCCCCTCTCATTTTTTGCATTTTCAAAATTGACCCCTGCCCCCCCCTCCCCCAAATTAACCTTTTTGAAAATCATACCCCTTTGCCCTCTCCAACCCCCTCCTTCCCCTCAACTGGGACGTGATAAATGTTGCTTCCTAAGTGTCTTCCTGCATGCTGCATTAGATTGGGGAGATAGAGAATGTGAAAGTTTAAAGCCAGGGGAATGATCATTACGTGGGCTAATATAAAAGAAATAAGGCACTGATGACAGGCTCAATTTTTAAAAATGTCTTTTAAGAGGAAGGGCCTTGTTAACCACAACTACCACAGGACTTAACCTCAATCAGCAGAGTGCTCGACTGCAGAATGGGAGGTCATGGGTTCAATCTCCAGAACTGGACCAATAATCAGGGTCTCGAAATAACTAAGAAATGAAGGTACAGTACATGTACTGCCTTTGCCCTGCAAATAGCTAGACTTTTGGGTGGCTCAAATGACCATGTATAAATTGGCAGTCTAGTCTCATAAGTTAGAAATCCGAGCATTATTCTAGTACTACCATATCATGCTAAAATATATTGACACAGTTTGCTTTAATGATTGTCCTAATTTAAGCCTGTGGTAATTATATAAATATATTTAATATACAGTGTAAACAGATTGTAATTTTTTGGTTCTGAGTTTTAGCATCTTTTCTCCTGTTATGTGACTCACAAAATGGCCGACTCTGTCCATTATCATTATATTATTAATTTTGTCTATGAGGTGATTCAGCCAATAAAGACAGACGGATTGAAGTTTCACATATTACACATTGTTTTTGTAGTTTACAATTTAATAAGGCTCATAAAATTGAAATGGTGAAAAAATGTTGACTCTATACAAGCCCTGCAGCGCCCCAGCAGAACTACTTGACATTTTTTTTAAATATAATGTGCATTGATGTAAACACATTTGTACAGATCAAACATTCAACTACTATAAAACCAGCATACCGTAAAATTCCGAAAATAAGCCCCTGCAAATATAAGCTCCCCAAACTCGTAATGCAAAAAACCCGCCATTAAATTGCCCCTCCAAATATAAGCTCTCCCCGGGGGCAGGTACTTGGAAATTGCCCTCAAATACAAAGTAGAACAAAGCAAAAATGGTAAATTTCCTTCCAACTATAAGGCTAGCCCAATCGATTTGAAATGCAAATTTCCCTCCATATTTGGAGGGGCGGCCCCGCCAAATATAAGCCCCTCAAAAAGGGCCTTTGAAAAACATAAGCCCCGGGGCTTGTTTTCAGAATTTTGCGGTACTTTTAAAATATCGACTTGCGATTTCATAAAGAGAAATTCAGAACAGGAAGAATTACATTATGTAAAAAAAAGTTATATGCACATACTCTTTTTACTTTTACCTTACAATCTGTTATTTATCTTTATGGGCATGCGTGCACCTGATTGAGCCATGAACATTATTATAAGGACACTAGAAAAGAAAAAATACATGTGATTAGATGTTATATACTGGCTTATTCCAGAAAAAATCCTAACCCCCCCAACAAAAGGCATGGCTTTTTGACCCCCCCCCCCCACCCCTTCCACCTAAATTTCCCTCCTCAGGATTTCCAAGTTCAAAGACCCCCCCACCCATCTGGATTTCCATGAAATTGTTAGACACCATAATTTTAATTTACACTTAATGTAGAAGAATAAATTGTTTTAGGCAGTTAGATGATCTTTTTATCAAATAAGTCTCAATTTTTGTAAATTCTGTGTTTGTTGTGAAAGTTAAGATTACATTTTCACATCTTCTTAAATAGGCTTACACTTTTTGGCAAATAAGCTCACAATTGAATGAACGTCTCTTTTTTCCTAGGCCAGGCAAAATACACAGCAATATATGCTCAAAACTAACTATGTACTTGAATAAAAGGTTCTCTTCTTTGTCGATACGTGAAAAAAATGACTGTGAAAGAAGAAAGAGGACACTAAGTGGGATATTACATAACGCGCTATACCGCTAGCTACACCACTTGCCTTTTAAAATGGCCACCGAACAATCACGAACAACCATGCTTACGTACTTGTAAGGCGTGTTTAGTGGTAAATCACCCTGAAATAGCATTGACCTTGGAAAAATGCTTAATTCAAGGTAAAAATCATTGTTTGCTTTACTTGAATTGAGCGCTTTTTTATGAATTATGTGATTTTTCTTGATATCTTCAAGTTATCACACGTCGCTTCTACAAAAGCAGACAAAAGTAACAAAGGTGAGCCTATGGATGGAAACTTAAAATAAATGTGTTAAGAGGTCTGTAGTTTGAAAGAATAATAAAATTGGAAAACGCAAAGCAATTTTTTTTTATCAATTGAAGCAATTGAAACATCAATAAAATTGAAAGTAACCCCTGAGGATGTATCTTTACGTTCAAAGACCCCCTCCCGTCTGAATTTCCAGAGCTGTTAACCCCCCCTCCTGTGAGAATTTTTCAGCATGCCTTCCATTGTGGGGGTGTGGATTTTTTCTGGAATAACCCATTGATTGTAATATAAATTTTTTGTATTGTTAAATACAGTCTATTCTTTTCAGCAAGATGATTCACGCACACAATAGGCCTATTGCATTACTTGATCACGTGACCAACTTTCGGTAAACATGAAAACAGTTCGCTTTTGGAAAATTTTGTTAGCACGAGCTGAAAGAGCATATTAAAATTAGGTAACCTGTAAATTTTCCTTGTAAAGTCTGAAATTTTTCAAGTGTCGTTAAATCTTTCCCTTACGTACCACTACCTTCGCCCAATTGATGAGACAGGAATTTGAACAGGTCTAGCTGGAGGATTACCTGGCGAATTGATCGGCGCATAATGATTTATGGGTCATGTGATCAAATATTTTTATGCTGTGGCTACATGGCCAGTAACTGGTCAAAGTTTTCAAAACACTAGATGACCGGCAGTTCTATATTCTCAGTAAATTTCACAAAATTGAAAAATCCCAGCTAATCTAAATTATCATATGTCGATTAAGAAAAGTCAAGCGATCCTGAAATGCTTTATAGATCTTAAGTATAGCGTTTGGTTTACTCTGGGCTCAGAAGACGAGAGCATGTTTTGTGACACTTGGAACTTTTTTCAGCTCGACTGCTGGTCAAGATATTAGAGACCTTTAGCATCAGGTAAACCGCAAACCGCAAACCACAAACCACAGTTACGCGTTTGCAGTTTTGCGTTGCCGAGATTTCAAACTTTAGCAAGGCGTTCAGTTCAGATCAGTTCATTTTTATTTAGGCAAAATATAATACAATACAAGAATACATATAGGAATTGTAAGGTTGCAGGGGAGCCCAGAAGAAACGGGAAGGCTTTATGAAGCCTGGACTCCCCAGTCTCAAAGAAATAAGCAAAATAAAACGAAAATTCACAGAGTGATACTTTAAAAATAGGAACTAAACAGAGACTGAGTTAAGTTATGAATTCAGTAACAAGATAGAAAAAAAATGTAACACTGGATTGGAACAGAATACTTTCCTTTGTTAGTACGGCAGAAACGAATATAAAATTGATTTGAACTACGTGTTCAATGTTTAGAGCCGCCATGTTGTTTTCATCAAGTCGAAGTGCATCACTTTAATCGCCCAAAACTCAGCAATAATTCATTGATTCGAGATCAAAAATCCAACAAACACATCGCAAACGGATATAAAAAGCTAGTTCATACCTTTAAACGCGAGGCTGTACAATTTTTTGTGGCAAAAAACCTTGCCATAAATCACTTACCGCTGGAAGCCCTTCCCGCAGTTCAAACGTGAACTGCAAACTGCAAACATGACCCCATGAAAAACGTGATGCTTAAGGTCCCTATTGAAAACACTAAATGACCGGCAGTCCTATATTCTCCATAGATTTCAAAAATCGAAAAAATCCAGCTAAACTAAACTGTCAAATGTCAATAAAGAAAAGTCAGTCTAGCGTTTGGTTTACGCTGGGCTCAGAAAATGAAAATATAGGACTGCCGGTCATTTAGTGTTTTGAAAACCTTGACCAGCAGTCGAACTGAAGAAAGGGTCAAACCATGCTTTCGTCTTCTGAGCCCAGCGTGAACCAAACGCTATTTTTGAGATCTATAAAGCATTTCAGGATTGCTTGAGTTTTCTTAATCGACGTATGATAGTTTGGTTTAGCTGGATTTGTTCGATTTGTGAAATCTGATGAAAAGACAGGACTGCCGGTCATTTAGTATTTTGAAAACCTTGACCGGTTACCGGCCATATAGCCACAGCGAAATTTTTAGGGACCATTACAATAAATTATTGATGCTTTCACCGTGCTGTTTTCAAAAATGCTCAAGAATCTATTTCAAACTAAGACTAAACGTAGTGGATTGAAGATGACGCCCTTATCTTCAGAAATGTTAAAAAGTTGATATGTGCAATATGGGATCGTTGTTCATAGCTTACCTTGAGGAATCTGAAGAATTCATGCAGAAAATAAACAGCAATGGGAAATCCAAGAGACATGAAGAAAGCAGTGTCAATCTTCATTATTTTACGTGCACGCTACACAGTGATACGCTGAATGAGAAAGTAAAGTCAACCCATGATTTCCAGGATTAATATAAACACGTAAAAGTAGGAAATATCTCTATGCGAAATCGAAAGCAGCAAGCTGACTTCGTGCTACTTCCGTCTGGCACTTATTTACACTCCTTCTGTTCAGAGCGCATGACATTTTCTAGCGGCTCTTGAGCCCACGCTCATTCTGGGATGTTGCGGAAAAAGAAAAATAAGAGCAAAAGGGGAAATGAAAAATTGTTTTAAAATTGGGAATAAATAAAGAAAATGAGAAAGAGAAAAAACGCGGTAAAACTAGAAAGGCGAAGATGATGGCCGCCGGCCGCAGAAGCATTACATCCCTTCCTTTCTTTGTTTCCTCCTTTATTTTATTCTCCAATTAAGCAATTGAACAAACAAATTCCAAAACTTTTAGCATCAATTTCAAACTAATCAAATATTTCGTTCGCATTCAGATTCGAACTTAATCTCAACGATGTAAAGTGAGGTTGCGCAATAGAAGGTTGTTACGTATTCCCAGTCTAAGAGGATTGTAAATGGCCAGGAGCTCCAGGCACCCGTCCGTAGTTCAGAGAAGGTTTTCTTTATTTGATGCCGATGGCCACCTTGATGCGGCGTTTAATGAAATGATTTTCGTCAGATAAAACTTAAACATTGTGTGGGTTGATGTTGGGTCGCGTTGTCCGGCAGTGCTCCAAACCTGTAGAAGTTTCAAGGGGTTAAGCTCAGGTGCGGGGGTTGGGGGCGGGGAAGGAGGGGATACTCAAGATTTCAAGTGACGAGGATGATCGAATGGGGGCAGAAATCAAAACCCCCAAAAATCCCTAGGGAACACAAACTAAAAAAATCCCTGGACAAAAATTTACCCTTAGAAATTCTCATACCAAGAAAATACGCAGTCTTTTGAGTGAAACGGCGACTAATAGTTCGAAGATACATTCATTAGCGCGAAAATACGAACATTTGCGCATAAATCAGATTCAATTACGATTTTTGCATTTTAATCAACATTCAATAACACTTTTGGGCATTCATATGCGTCATTGAGCATACAAAAGAGAGAAATATACTTTCATCAAGGCCAACATTAAAGTCATTAATACCATCTTGAAAGTCAATAGGGACAACTGACATAAATTAAAGTGCAAACACTATTCATTAACATTTTTACGACACTGTTTGCAATTCAATAGCATTCCTGCCAACCTTAGGATGGATAAGACAAACATTAATGTGCTTGTACAATCAATTGAGTGTTCTTTACATTTAATGTACAAAAATCGATTTTCAATCAAACAATAGAAATTCAAACAAATTTGGCCTGAATTTCCGTCCGTTAAATGTATATCCCTTAAAAACCTCGCTATTTAAACATTTTGGGAGGTAGGTTTGATGTCGAGGAGGGAAGCATAAGCTGTGTACGTATGGAGCGGGAATGGCCAAATCTAGGTGGCTGCCAGGCACCCCGTCATACGCAAAGACCGCCGACTTATCGGGATCCATTTTTTCCTCGCCCGTGCTAGAAAGTCACCGAAAAACCGACACAGTATTTCATTACTCCAGCAGCTCCCGAGAAAAACATTTGATAGATACTTAATATTGCCATGGTCATAGTCAAGTTTCGTCCTCGTTGGCCGCACACTTGACGGTACGCCCTCCACTCCCTGTCGCGCCCCTCCATGACTTCTGGCCGTCTAGGGTAAATGTATAGCCGCAGCCGTCGACGAACACACAGTGGCGAAGTACGGCGTGATTCTTTAAACAAATTCAGGCCAATTTTTTTTTTTGGGGGCGGGGGGGGATTGCTATTGCTTAATTGAAAATATATTTTTGTATATTGAATGTAAAGAACGCTCAATTGATTGTACAAGCGCATTAATGTTTGTCTCATCCATTCTAAAGCTGTCCAGGAATGCTATTGAATTGCAAACAGTGTCATAAAAATGTTAATGAATAGCGTTTGCACTTAAATGTTTGTCTATTGTCCCCAATGATTTTCAAGATGATGTTAATGACTCGAATGTTGGCGTTAATGAAAGTATATTTTTCACTTTTGTATGTCGAATGACGCAAATGAATGCCCAAAAATGTTATTGACTGTTGATTAAAATGCAAAAATCGTTATTGAATCTGATTTACGCGCAAATGTTCGCTTTTTCGCGCTAATGAATGTATCTTCGCGCTGTTGGTCGCCTTTTCACGCAAATGAATGCGTATTTTCTCGTAATGAACAGCAAAAGGTGTAGTAAATAATGGGACAAACTTATCATTTCATAGGAATTTTAATTAAAGCGGCAAAGAAAATGGAACAATTTTTCTTCAAAATCATCTAAAAATCCCCCGGAAATCCCATTTTTTTTCTAAAAGTCCCCCAAATTTCTAAGAATCTCCTGATGCTCTAAAAATCGTTAAAGAAATCCGACTTTCTGTGTCTAGGCCTAACACGCGCTGCCAAATGACAAACTGCACTCTGTAAAACGCGTCTTTTTGCAGGCCAAACGAGAAATGCGCGGGCTGAAAATGCATTTGCCGCCATGATTCTGATTGTCTGCAGAGATGTTAAAACAACTTCGCTTGGCCAATGAGATCCTGAGAGCAAAGGAGACTTTTGTCTGATTGGCTGTTTGATTCTTCAGTGTTCAGTCTTTGCTTAACCCTAATCACTACAGTCAGGGCTCGAAACCAAAGCGATAAGGAATACTAGGTTGTGTAAATTTCATAAGGTGTCCAAGGGGGTTAAGGCCGATGGGATCTAATGTTCGTCTAAAACGGTGTTTGCCTTGAAACTAGCCTCAGTCCCTTCGCGTAAATGATCATGTCCCTTTGTGTTCTTTTTTCACCTTATTGTAAAGTGATTGCCTAGGAAAAACAAACGGGCTAATGGGGGTGTTAGGTAATGTTTTGATATCATGGAGCATCTTTAATCTTTAATCTTTAATTGCCTCTAGCGAGCTAATCTGGCGATGGACGTTCAGTTCACGGAAGTTCATGGCATTGACAGCAAAATAAATAAATAAATAAACACAAATAAAATTACAAGTCATATGAAAAAAAAATCGTCAATACATAAAATTATTACCGTGAATACTTGAATGGAACGCAGCCACAGAATCAGCACATACGGAAGCAGGACACAAGGCCTTCCAAGCGTGAACAGTTCTTAAAAAAAAAAGAATACTTTTGCGCGTTAATAATAGATGAGCAACGCTGGAACTGGAATGGGTGCTGTGTACTAGCGCGGGTCAAGTAGGGACAGTCCACCTCGTGTAGGTCGTTTGGGAAAGATATCCGTACATTTCCTGTCTTTATCTTAAAAAATATTATCAAATTAGTGATCTTCCTACGTGTCTCAAGATCTTACCAACTCAAGTTCGACAACATTGTATTAACGCTACTGGAACGACAGTAATCGTTACAAACAAAGCGCGCCGCACGACGCTGAACGGATTCAACACAGATAATGTCTTTTTGTGTATATGGACTCCAGGCGACGGAGCCGTACTCGCATATAGGGCGGACCAGGGACAAATAGGCTCGTTCCTTGACAACAGCGCTACAAGACGTTAAGTTCCTTTGGAGTACACCTAGGATCTTATTCGCTTTCTTTTTCACCTCCACAACTGCTTTGTCCAATTGAGGGAGTTGGTGATGTAGACCCCTAAATATTTCTGGAACGTAACTCCCCCCAGGGGAGTGTTACACAGCGTGTATGTTGTAGTTAATTTTTTATCTCAGGTAATTTTTGTTTTTCTTTTGTTTTTGGGTATGGTAATGCATGCTAACGAAGTTGAAACAAAGGAAAAATAAAAATTACCTGAGATAAAAATTAACTACAACATGTACGAAAATGACGATGGCTGACGCTTAGGGACGGACCATTAGAAAAGTTATTGGGGGGGAATTTTCGAGCCGCAGGAATTTTTCTTCGTTATCAAGAGCATGAATATTTTTAGGGTTAATTGGCGTGCATGAATTTTTTTTCCTTTCATTTTCCCTTGCGCGAATTTTTTTTTGGACTTCGCCCACCCCCCACCAAAAGTTTTCTAATGGTCCGTCTCTTAAGGGTGATGGACATGATATAACATTTACTAACTAGGGGAAAAGTTCATTTGCCGCATAGCCGCCCATTCTTCAAGCTGGAGTAGGTCCTGCTGGAACTTATCGTGGTCTGCTGAAGACTCAATATGGCGGTAGAGCACACTGTCATCAGCGAATAAGTTGACTCTTGATGAGACAGACGATCGAGGGCAGATCGTTAACAAAAAGAGGGAACAAACTCGGCCCCAGAACAGTGTCCTGGGGGACACTGGATAGTACAGGTAACCACTTGGACGAAGAACCATTTACTACCACACGTTGTCTCCAACCAGTGAAAAAAGTCCGCAGCCAGTTGTTTAGTTTCCCAGATATTCCGTAAAATTGGGCCTTAAGGAGGAGCCTTTCCTGATCCCCTCAGTGTCAAAGGCCTTCGCAAAATCGAGGAAGATCACATCGACCTGGCCATGGATGTTGAGAACGCTTACCCACTCATGAATGACCGTAATTAACTGGGTGGGGGTATTATTCGAGGTGTGAGAAAGTTTTTTTTTTCACTATCCTCCTGGGGTGGGGAGGTAGGGAGGAGGGTTCCGTCGACTTCTGTATAAAGATCCTATTGAATTTCGTTAGTTTCAGCTCGTACAATTAAATAAACAATAAACGGAAAAGTCGTCCGTGATGCATGTCACTTGCAATTGTATATTAAGTGACAGGATTGATGCAAGTCGGTTTTCGTATGTGAGTATTAGCTATCATTAAAAACTGAATCATTGGATAATGCAATTCTAGAGATCTGATTGGCTTAGCCATCATGGAATATAAGCATTATACCATGCTCTCCAAATATAGTAACTGTACGCGTCTGCCCAAAACTAAAAACAACTACTACCATAATCAGCTGCTGATGACCAAATTTGGAAGAATTTTGCGTTTAATGAACCGATGACGTCAAAAGTGCAGCCTTCTTGCAGGTTAATGCACCGTTAACCGAGAAGACCAAGAGTGGGAGGAGGTTGAGTTGTTTTGGTTGTGAAAACAAAAAATGGCGGACATTTCACAGCTGATTTCACTCCTTTCAAGAGTGAGAAC